CGCTGGAGATATTCGGGCATCGTGACAATCTGCCAGGGGGACAGAGAGTGATCACTGCCCTGTCCAGACCCCCTCCTCCAGGGATGGTCCCAGGGATGGCAAGGGGACAGCTGCACTCCCAGAGCAGGGTTTAGGGGTCTCAAAGGCCAGTGGTGACAGCCCTTGGGGGAGCAGGGGACCTGGCTGGGCTCCAGGCATCCCTACGTACCCCCGATGAGATGTAGACCGGCACGAACACCCAGGCCAGCGCCAGGAGAGCATAAGTCGCCTGTTGGGAAGGAGGAACACGGCACAGCCAGAAAAAACACGGATCCTGCTGCAGCTCGACACTGACGGCAGCGCTGGACCCTACTCACCCTCAGGGGCACATTTACATCCCCAAATGGCTTCAGATGGCCAACATGGGTGCATGGGGTCATGGTGGAAGCCCCCCAGCACCCCTGCCAGCAGGAGCCTGCTCCCCTCAGCCCTTCAGCTCCTGACCAGACATTTCCTACAAACTCCTGGAGCACCAAGCAAGTCCAATGCCATATTTTTCCTGCAGAACCCAAAGACTTTGGCTACAGCGTGCAGGGAAGCGGGGAAGAGGTGACCTGATCAGCCTGGCCAGGGTCACGCAGGGGCTGGATGGGGAAGCTCTGCTCTGAAATGTCCTTTTCCCCAAGCACATGGACCTGAGTTGACTCCAAACTCGCCGTACGTGCGCTAGACGGGAGCTGGAGAAGCTGAGTTAGCAGGGTTGCGTTAATTACCCCCTGCACGACTCCTGTGAAATGGGCCATCTGCTGCGACACAGCTCCAGCAACTCATTTTCTTAATAACACGACACATTCCTTACGTTCCACTCGAAGCCGGTGACAGCGATTCCCCCGGCAGCGCCGGTCCCGGCCAGCCCGATGAAGAGCCCCGAGCCTTCGCTGCTGGCGAAGAGCGAGGCACCGATCTGCGGAGGAGCAGAGGAGGTGCTGCGGGTGCTGCCGGGTGGGTGACCGGCCGCTGGCTCCCCACAGCTCCCCGTCGTGCCAGCTGGACCAGCTTTGGTGCTTCCCCAGCAGCGCAGCCCCAAGGGGATAACTCAGTAAGGTGAGGAGGCAAAAATAAGACAAGCAGAACCGCGCAGAACTCCCTGCCACTTCTAAAAGCCAAGCGTGGCCAAGGTGTGATGAGGGACGTGTATGTATTTTGCAAGAAAAACCCTCAACAGACTCCAATTTGGGTAGACGTGAGCCTCAGCCACCAGCACTCCTGGGAATCCAGCTCATCAGGGCATTCCCAGTGCGTTTGGGATGGATTTGCTTGTCTTCAGGAGGATGAGGAATCACAGAATGGTTTGGGCTGGAAGGGACCATAAAGCTCATCCAGTGCCACCCCCTGCCATGGGCAGGGACACCTTCCCCATGTTTGACTCCAATGACCCCTCCCCAAGTTCAGAGCAGCCTACAAGGAGACCCGACAAACCGGGTGGGCTCCAGCACCTTTGTGCAGTGAGAAGGGAAACGCAGCTCAGAGGACACGAGTCCCGGCAGGAGGAGGGGTACAGGGACGTGCAGGCAGGTCATGGAGAAAGCAGGGGGGCAGAATAAGGAATTTGGTGGGAGGGAGAGCGGTGCTGGATGTCCCTGCTGCCCAGGGTGTCACAGGAGGGACAGGTTTCTACTTACTGGCCACCATGCCATGCCTCTGCCAGCAAGGAAATAGCCACTGACGGTGTTCCTGTTCACCCTGCACGAAGACTGGGAGGAGAAAAGGTCAGCACGGAGCAACCCTTCCCTCCCAACCCAGACAAAACACCGAGAACCAAGTTGGCCAGACGAGAAGCCAAGAGACAGGAGACTCTGGATAATTAATAGGAGCTCTGCAACTCAGAACTTAATTACACGGAACAGCGGCAGCACCCCGAGTACCTGGAGCCATGAATAGCAAAGGAGACACCCCAAGACGGGGAAGGATGGAGGATGCACCCATCCTACCGCCATCCCCAGCAGACAGGTTGGCTAATAGGGCCCAGCTTTGGCTCTGATTTTTCTGCAAGGCAGAATAAATGGCTTTGGAGAGCCTTTGTCTGAAACTGCGGGTAGTGAGGGCTTGTTCTGGTAAGCAGGGCACTGGTCTCAACACCCTTTAATAGACAGGCAGGAGGTGTGCTCGCTCCCAGCGGAGCGGACGCCGGGGCAGGAGAGGTTTGTGCTGTGGTTAATTCCACCTCGTTTATTCCACCTCATTCTCAGGCTGTAGGGGTCTTTCCATAGGGGGTGGAAGGGACAGAGGAGGTTTGTACAACAGAACAGAGCAAATGCAGCACAACACACAAAATACATGACAAGTGCAAACTACGACAGGAAAATAATAGAGGCTTTCGAAGTATTCTATGCAGAAAAGCCAGACTTAAAAAAAAAAAAGACTTCAAAAAAGGGAAAAAAAAGAAAACACTCTTACCCATATTCCCACTGCAACGTTTAAGGAAAAATAAACCACTACGACAACAAGATCAGCAACGCTGAACTGCTGCGACGGGGTGAAGTATCCCGCAGTGGAATTGCCCTCCATGGCTCCTCTGCCTCCCTCCTCATCCTCGCAAAAGCCTCACGCAGACACTCACTGAATCAGTAACTCGTTAGCGGCTTGGGGGCATTTATCATTAAACAGGCATTTCGCCCCTGAAGGCTTTTGGGTGGGCAGCCAGGCTGCCTGCTGCCTCCCTCCCCTTCCCGTTTCCCCACCACCCCGGTTCCAGAGAACACCTCTTGATTTCACCGTCTCACAAACAAGCAGCTGCTTCATCCCCATTTCCTTGGGGTTTTCTGCTTCTTCTGCATTGATCTTGCAAAAGCAGCAGGCTCAGGGTCCAAGCTGCTCCTGTAATTAACCATTTCTGCATTTCTCTCGGGGCACAGGATCCCAGCAGCCTGCTCGCAGAGGTGCCTTAAACCTAGATACTGCTGGACGAGACACTACCATGGCTTTTGTCTTCTATAAGCTCTACACCAAACCCCAATATTTTTCTTGCAGATATGAAGAGTCTGGGAAGAATTTGCATGATCTTCTGAGAAATTAATTACTGTAGAAACTGCTGGATAAAGCAGGGGTTTAAAGTGTTCTTTACCTTTGAAGGACTCCAGAGAACTAATTTCTGGTAATATTTTTGCGCTGGGAAAAGCAAACGGAGTTCAGGGAGCTCTGAAGTTACACAGCATAATGAAAGCGGTATGAAAATCATCCAAGTGAAGTCGTACGTGCTTCGCTCCCTTCCAACCACTCCAGTGCCGTGAACAGCCAAAGGACTAGCAATCCAGTCGTACAACTGCAACCGTTCCCTCATTTTTTAGTCCTAATCAATTTAATAATTGCACTGCCCAGAACGAGGGAAAGTTGTGGGTTTCTACCTGCTAAAGCGATGATCCAACACAGGAGCTACACCAACGCCCAAGGGGGATCCTCAGCACGCCAGCCAGCAGCAACGGTCACAGGAGAGCTGGAGCTATTCCCCCAAAAGCCAACACGAAACAAGGAGGAAACAACCTTCAAATCAAATGTTTTGGGTATTTACTAATCAGTGTTTGCTGCACTGGATGCCTGGCTGGCTCGTTTTCAAGTGGCAGCACGCTTTCCAATCATGTATCACAGGGCTGCACTAATAAAATAAATACACTGCAACGAATGCGTCCATCACGGAGGCAGGTCAGCACATTTCTCCTCTCTTTCAAACAACCGTTGATGCACCCAAGCTCCACCGGAATTTAACCTGCATTAACACACTGAAAGTACACAGAAGTGTTAATACGTCAGCTCAGTGTATCTATTAACATCGCTGAACTGTTTAATAACCTCCTGTCATTAACGTACAACCAGGTACAGCCTGGCATTTTGTCGTTTCATACAGACAGAGCGTACCTCTCTGGACAGGGCTGCAGAAATCAAACGGAATAATTGCACAGAAAATAAGTTCCCAGGATGAAGAACAGCATTATCAGAACAGAAATGGGCAGTTGCTTCAATCAAATCACCATCCGATTGCTGAATGTACCAACATCCAGCACTGCAGATCTTGTAGCGATATCCAGGTCTTCTAGCCGCAGTCCACGCCTCCATCGTTCCCAGCGCTGTGCCAGGACAGACAAGGGAAGGAAAAAATAACGGGTTTTATCCTTAAAAGCAAATTCAACCTCTCAAAACCCTTGAATGTTCATCTCAAGCAGAGAGAAACGGTGTCAACACTGTGGCTGGCGTTCATAAGTTTTACACTCATCTGCAGGACATCCTGACAGAGATCAGACCACACAACTCCTAAATGCTCGTTAATTCCACCATTGTTTTCTCTGCGACGGGTCAGGACCTTCCAAGTCTCTCAGAGTGGAAGCTCACAGTGTGGCAGCGAGCTGGCCGTTCCACCCACGTTGGGAAAACCAACCTGAACAAGTTAAGCTCTGCGCCTTGGCCGTATTTTTCAGCTCATCCATACATTCAGGTCAGGGTACAAACCTCTGAAAGAACAGCTTACCTGTGATGAGCCCATTCGGATTTTACCAGCTGGAACCTCTGCCTCCTGCAATATTCCCAAGCCCCTGTTGTTCCATGACATCCAGCCACAGACGTTAGCTCCCTCCCGCCTTCCCTGAAGCAAAGCAGCACGCTGGAACCCTACTGTCACTGCCAAATTACAACTGATCTACAAACATCTGTGATAGCACCTGCAACTGGCTGGTGACAGGTTGTATTTTGTTTTTTACAAGACTGCTCAGCAGCAACAGCTTGAAAAATGGCAGAGGACCCATATTAGGCAAAAGCAGCCTCTCCTCATTTGCAGGTGTTTCACTGTAACAAGCAAAATGCACATTATTCTCCCTCCTGCCAAGAAGCCTGATCCTCTTCATATTCCAAAGTAACACATTAGCATAAAATCATCAATTCAGCTCTTGATTTCTTTCATTAACCAATTCCTGCAGATCATTTTAAACAGGACACACTTTAGAAGACAAGTGACTAGTACACAAACATTTTTAGAAAGCTCACACAAAACAAATCTTTATTCTTTGTTGCAGAAAATAAATACAGGTGCATATTTCATATGCTTTTCTATAAAAGCACTCCTACAAAATCACTTAACTGCATACAACAGTACAACCTTTTTGGCTTTTAAAATGCAAATATTATACAGTCACTTCATTTTATTATCTTTTAATGCACTTGTAGCAAGCAGCTTTGGAAAAGGAATGCTTAATTTAGAAGCCAAATTCTTGCCTCAAGTGTTTTCTAGGGTTTTTCCATCCTGTATATAGTGCAACTAACCTAAAAGCAACTAGAACAGTTTTTTGTAAAATGTTTGTTCCCCACCCATTCCCCCCCCCCCCCCCCAAAAAAAAACCCTGCAAAGAAAAAAACCCAGCTCTTAAAAACTGTTCTACCTTGATACTTAAACCAAGAGAAAACAAAAAGTGGCTCAATAGAAATATTAAGGTAAGCATGACGCTTCACAGCTCATTATCTGTTCGCTTCCAGTTTGGCCCGGGGTGTTTCTCTAGAATAAAAAGCATTAATCATCCAGTCCTATATTTCTGAAAAGGTAAGACATGGACTCCCCATTATGGATCCTGCGAATGGCTTCTGAGAGGATCATGCTGATATCCACAGTCTTGATCTTGGGGCACTGGAGTTTCTGTATTTCATGTGGAATTGTGTTTGTAACAACCACCTACAGAAAGAAAAGATGATCAGAAAGACATAGCTCTTATCTTTTCCCACTTTCCAAGAACTGCAAAAGGGAATGTCCACCCACCAGATCCTGTGAAGCCACTGTTGCTGATAAAAGAACGAGATTTCACATTACTGGCAGGGTCACAGTCTCAGGAAGAGCCACTCATTGCTACAGGACTGCACGTATCCATGGATACTAATGGCACTGTCCCTCCTTCCTTTCACTCTGCCATGCAGGTCCAAGGGAAGCTACAAAAATATCCCCCCCTCCACTGAAGGGAAAAGCCTGCTAATACTGGCAGTCTCTCATCTCACCACTTCCCTGGCTTCCCCCTGCTATAGTGCAAGGACACGTAGATGTTCATATTCTAACATAAAACTCCACAGTAAGAAAGCCTGAACCCAGGAACCTACCAGCTGAATTCTTACCGCCCGTACATTTTAAGAATCAAGTCACGAGAAAATTGCTTGCTTAAAAAAACCAAAATAATTTGATCAGAAATTCAGAATCCATGCTTACTTCATCGATGGCAGATTCCTCTATCAGCCTAGGAGCATCTGAAGACAGCAGGCCATGTGTGGCCATTACAAAGATCTTGTAAGCCCCCCTCTCCTTGAGGGTCTCGGCTGCAGCCAGAAAGCTGTCAACGTCATCTATAATGTCATCCTGTCAAAATAAAATCGCGTCAGTGGAGATGCACCACATCCTCAGCGACATGAACACAGCACACGCAGATTGATGTCACATCTTTTTCAAGTATAACAGTTTACAGTCACCGCAAAATGGACATTTTTATTGATGCTGTTCTTCAGACTTCTGAGCTAGATGGCGAGTGTGAAAGAGTGGTGAAGCAGAGTGCCCAAAACTACTGAACATCAAGGGGCAGAGGGACTGCTCCATGAGGGGAAGAGGGAAAAGCCAAGACAACTGACATCCATTCGAAAACCAAACTAACAGAAAATTGCTCTTTCCCATGACAAGCCCAGAGATTACATTCTGCCTTAGAGAAACCATGAGACTGGCATCATCTCTACTTCACTGGCATTTCTAAGCTCACAGAACACAAACATGGTGACCTTCCCCTAATCTGATGTGTAAGCACCACCTGAAACTCCTCACCTTCAGGCAAGCACCTGAACAGAATTTTATCTGGCCTATTCATAGAAACAAGGTCCAAAAGCTGCTTTCCAGCATGATCACCTCATACTTCCCACAGCTTCAGTAAGTGTGCAGAATACTGCCTCACAGTATAAAAAGTGCAGTATCAAAAGCCCAACATCAACCAAAGTTTAGTTGCTGACACAGCAAAAAATTGACGTGATTTCTGCAACCTTAACATGTTTAATATAATCTATCAGAAGCAATGGCATCTAACTTACCACGATGATAGCTATTCTTCCTCCTACATCTCCAACAACTGTGATGGGTGGTTTTTCCTTGGGAATCAGCACTGATTAATGGCAAATTTTTTTAGAGGGATAGAAAGGAGAAAGAAAGAGAAAGATTATACAATTTACTTGAAGCGTGGAAACGTCTGCTTTGCATGGGTCACCACTGTTACAGAGAGAAATGAAGCAACAACTATTTCAACCATTACAGCGCTACTGGGAAAAACTAGCAGGATTTTAATACATTAATGATTTTTTTAAGCTTAGCCAAAGAATTAACTACATTCATTTAGACTCAAATTCTTAACCAATTCAATTGATTCGTAATTTTAGTACAGAGAGAAGTAAAGAACCACTCCTTTTTGACGGTCCCTCTCACTACCAGCCCCATTCCCCAAACCCACAAAAATTGATAGGTGAATACGTTCACATACAAACTTACTTACTAGGTATCTCCAAACTGGGATGAATAGCAGCTACGTTTTTGGCTGTAGGTGGTGAGTGTCGACCATCCACCATGTCAGACTCAGCATCTTGAGCTTCCCCATGAATCACAGCAATTCCCAACCGTAAGCGCTC